GGTTCAGGGTTTTTAGGGTTTTGGGGTTTGGGGTGTTCAGGGTTTCGGGGTTTAGTGTTTATAGGGGTTTGAAGTTTAGGGGTTTAAGGCTTACGGTTTTTGCGGGAGTTTTAAGGTTTAGGGACTTATTGAAACTCCCTCGCGGACAGCACCAGGCAACGTCTGCAGCGATACTGGTCTTCGCTCTTCGTTTAGGGATTTAGGCTTCCGGGTTTAGGGTGTTCAAGGCTTGCAGAGAGCAGTCCTAGAAAAAGAGCATATCAAGACTTGACAGGTTCCAGAAAAGGGTATGGGCTATCCCTAGATGCTAAACCCTATCCAGTCTTGGTATTCCTACCAACGTCGTACACTGATTTAATCCACAGGTGATCCTTCGGAAGACGCTACAGCCCTTCAAACTCACGGCTGTGATAGAAGTCTTTGCACAACCCTGCACGTCTAAGCCACGCCTGCTGAAGTTACTGCATGTGGGCAGTTCCTTAAATCAGGGTCTCTTGCTAGGTTCCGGAAATAGTGCGGCACCCTTCTAAACAGGACGCGAAAAGGTACCCGAATTTAGGGAACTACACATTTAAATACTGGCAAGGACAAAGCAGTTGCTGGCATCGGCGCCACTATGGTAAGGCTTGAGTCCATTGAGTCCCCTGCATGCATTACGTTGAGCAGCATCCAGGTGGAGATAGATGACAAGCAGACTTCACTGCATTGCCACATGCCTGAAGACTTTAATCCAACATGGGAATAAAACAAAGCTGCTTCTCGGGAACAATAAGTCCCTAAAAGCAGCCCGAGGCACCGATCGCACCTTGCTTGAGCATAGGGTTTAGGTTCTTGGCAATCCAAATGAATGAAATGTCCCCTCCCGGGCTCGGGCAGCTTGCTCTCTAGGTGCCGCGACTGGGGCGTCCCCGGGTGCGACGACGCAGATGCTCGTGCGTCGGTACCTTGGGGCTGATGCAGTCAAGCGTCACTGTATCGGGCTCTCGGAATTTGGGTTGGGTGAGGCGTACCGGGCTTGGGTTTTGGGAGAAGCCTTATAAAGGGTGTTATAAACGCCTGCACCGCGTTTCTGAATCCTTCTTCTAAAGCAGCTGCAAAACACTAGAAAATGTGAGGAGCCCTCGCAATCTTATAGGGTCGCTACCAAAAATTGGTTATGGTAGGATCAATAGGGGTATCCTCTTGCAATGGTTAGCACAGGGTTTGGGTGTATGTATGTACCCTATGGGTCCACGTGCTTGGTGAACATTTATTCCATTATAGTTTCACCTACGCCGCACATGGTCGCTACACCATAACGCTACGGGCGGACCCAGCAGTTAGGTGCTTAGGTGTCGGATGGTGGTGACGGATATCTGCACTAAAGATAGGATCTCTACAACCACAGGTTCACGTCAAACTATTCCAAACCGCTACCTGCGTCAACCTGAAAGCCCATGCGGTGTGCGAGGTTGGGTTTCGGAATTGCCTAGACTTTCCTTTTAGGGTTTCGGATTTACGGCTGTTTGGGTTTAGGAGTTGCAGCACAATCATCGAAGAAGAAGAAGCGAAAAACACCATACTCTGGATTTTTTGGGTCCCCGAAGCTACAGACCCGCACCCCCGAGGCTCATCCGCCTTTCAACTGGGCTCCGGCACAGCTTCTTCAGACTTCGCCGCTGCAGAGCCAAACGCTCACCTGGGGGGCTCGTTTACCTTTGTTTGTTGATCCAAAGCTTTAGACTGCAGGGCCGTGGGGTTGAGCTTATGAGAAGTGTTGCTTATTGGGGTATTGTAATCGAAGAAGGAAAGCGACTTCAGTTCTAGTCTATACAGCCTATACAACGGATCCCACACCACGGAACGGCATCTGCTTCAAGAGGACAGCATGTAAACGATTGAGTGGAATCCTGGCAGGTTGTCGCTCTGACAACCAAAGGAGCCTGGGTCTCGGATGATGTCGGGATTTGGCAAACGACTTTGGGGTTTTGGGTTTTGGGTTGATCGAAAATCTGCCGATACACCCCAAACCCTGAAGCCGTGCGCAACCCCTCAAAACCTTATGCCCTGACACCCAGGCTGTAGTAGAAAATCACGACTCCTGGCATCATGAAGCACCCCGCCAGAGCAGGTAAAGAGATGGATTCCCCGCAGATGGTCATGACAGGCGCACCCTCCTCGAGACGCTAGATAGACATCCCCGTATCGGGAACCCCAATAGCAAGTAGGACCCCTTTTCCAAAGGCTTGAACTGAGTAGGACCCCCAAAACCCCGATCCTTGGACAACTCATCCCAACTTCAAGAGGCCGACGGCGGCTGTTGTTCAGAACGTGGGTAGCGGTGCCGCCAAAGCCCTGAGGGACCAGAGCCTGAACATATAAGCGTATATAGGGTCAGTAGGGGTGTGGATTGAAGTTTAGCACTCAGGGTGCCTTAACAGTGAAACTGTGAAACTGACTCATGGGACACTGTGCGATTTCTGGCCATACACCTTCACGTTTCATGCCGCCATATGAGCCTAGACTTTTGCCAACCCTAAGAGTTGGAATTTGGGCTTGTGCAAAATGTGGATCTAAAGCAACTGCCCACAAACGCAAAACCTCAAGCCCATACTCAGGTTGATGTTGATTTCGAAGGGCCGTAAGTGTTCAAGCTTGTTTTTTGTGGGTGTGTATGGTGTGTGACATGGAAGATCCATTTGCAATTGGCTGCCTTGCCGCTGCAGTGCTGAACTACACGTTGAGTTCAAACCACCGCGTCATCGCCACTAAACCCGAAACACAAAGCCAGAAGCCTCATACCCACCACTGTTGCCGCTGCCACTGCTACTGATACTGCTACTGCCTCTGCTGCTGCTCCTGCTCATGTGGCTTCTGCTACTGCGACTGCGAATGCTACTGTTACTGCTGCCGCTACTGCACTGCTACCACTTACTACCACTACTACTTCTACTACTACCTACACCTACTACTACTACTAC